TAAATAAATTCTTATTTTACTTTTTTTTACTTAGCTTAGTCTATTAGGAGTTATATTAGGTATTTTTATCTTTATAGTTTTTATTTATAAATTAAGTATTTATTTATAATTTATTTAATTTATTTATCTTATTTTATTTTAAAATACTAAGAAAAATAGCTTATATTAACTTTTTTAGGTTTCTTATATATATCTTAGTAATATTCTTTTAGTTATTATATAAAAATATATTTTTTAAACCTAATATAGTATTACTTCTCTTCTTTAGTTATTCTTTTATAGGTTTTAATAATAATTTTAATAAGTTATATAAACTAGTATTCTCCTTTAAGATTAATTTCTAAGAGTTATTTCTTAGTTTTAATAATTCTTATATTAAAGTTAGGTTATTAACTAATAGTATTTATATATTTATTATTAGTTCTTTTATAATATATAATTATAAAGTTAAATTTATATAGGTATTTAATATAATATAATTATTATTAGTTTAACTCTTATATTATTATAAAGTATATTATATTCTTATAATTAGTAAATACTTTTATTAAATATTTACTTTCTTTAAGATAATATTTAAATTCTTTAAAATAATTAATAATAACTAAGAATTCTTTATTATAAATAAAATAATTAAGTTCTATTTTATATATCTTATATAAATAAAAAGTAATAAGATATAATATATTATTATTATCTTATTATTTTACTTATCTTCCTAAGGTAAAATTAAAAATATTAGTTTTAAGTTTAACTTATTAATTAGGGTTAAATATAACTAAAATAGGTTTATTTATAATAGTTAATTTAAGCTATTTAAAAGCTTATTATATCTTATTATTCTATTATAATTATTTATCCTGTTTAGTAATTTTAATAAGAGAAATAGTAATTTTATTAAAACCTTTAATAAATTATTAGTAGTAATTAGTAAATCCTAGGAAGGATTAGGTTTCTTTTACTAATATAAAAGGTTTTTATTTAATAATTACTATAATCCTTTATTTATTTATTTTAATTTTATTATATAAGATTTTATATCCTAAGTATATTACTTAAAACTAATAAAAATAACTTTTAATAGGTTTAATAAGTATATTAATATCTTATAATACTTTTAAAACCTTATAAATATATTTTATATATTTTTCTTTTATATTGAATAAGATAAGAATATTATTTAGGTAATATATTATAAAGATATTAAAATATTCTTAAAGTATATTTATAATTATATATTAAAATACTATAGGTATATTAATTAAT